TTTTATTTCGCAAATACAGTCAATACTGTTTTACAGGGATAATAAGACGAAGCCACGAATAACTCAAAATCACAGTTGCTCCGAAGGCAATTAAAAAAAGCACTGGAATGAAAGATAACCCGTATTATAATTGATAGAAAATTGCTATTAACAATTTACCTGCATTTTCAAGGAGTTTAATCTGAAGAATAAGTTCATTTTGTTATGGGTTAATCCGTATTAAAAAAAAAAAAAAAAAAAGTAATCAGAAGCTAAGTTACAAATTGCATTAATATAATTAAGTTCCAAGTCACGTAAAAATTTGGCCCAAATTCGTTTTTTATTAAGCAATAGTTACATATTCCAGATTACGTATAATTAAATTACAGATGGCTAAAACCATTCACGAATTCTATAGCATCGGCTATTCTGCTGTTATCTCAAGCAGCCGCCCGTTCGGTATAAAAGTCATTAGCGAGGCTGATTGCCCCATCAACGGGCCCGAGTTTGAATCCGAGAAAAGGATGTTCGCAGGCCTATGGTATCTATGCCACAAAGGGGCACTCAAAATACACAAGCCGAAAGTCTACTCGAGAGGTTGGATCCGAGAGACTCTCAGAACACCCAGGGTTCTCTCTAAACATTGGGGTGGAACAGCACAGTTAATGCGTCAGGACTATGCTTATCTTATGCAGCCACAAGAAACGGGTTCCTGGGCCGAAGCCATTTCAGTATATCAGAGTAAGTTCGCATGAGTTGTGACAGCATAAAGTAAAGTCATAGTAATATATGACTAGTCTATATTTAGTAGAACGATAAACAATATATATTCCGTCGCAGAATGATACACAATTGAGTCAAATCAATGGCAAAAAAAAATTCAGTAGAGTCCAAACAAATATTACGTGTCTATGTTAGAGTTTCGTAGCGAGGTCGTCTATGCGTTGAGAGATCATTGAGAAGGCCTCAGTTAAGAAAACTATACATTTATATGTACTATGCACATGTGAGTCAGGAAAGCAGGTGACTGTCTGGAAGCGTCATCTAGAAAGGAAGCTTAGTTATTAGTCGGAGAAAGAAGGTAGTACTAGAGAGAACATACAGGCTTTGTTGGAGTAATAAACAAACTCTCACTCTCCTACTTTCTTCCTATCTTTAGTTATTGTTTAAGATGGTTAAAATGTGTCAACTATAGCGCACATTCAAATCATAATGCATAAAACGTGTATCGGAATAACAGAAATGACGAAACATGCAAGAACAGGATTTTCGGTTAAGTTAATAAGTTAAGCTGTGCCGAGTTCTTTGGCCCCTCCATAGAAATCCTACATTTCTTGTTGATTTATTTCTGATTGATTATCAAAGTGCAAAAGCATGCCACCCAAGCAAGGTATACTCATTAGGTTCATTTGAATCTGCGTAAGAAACTTATTTGCTTATTTTAATTGTTTTGATAAATCCCATATATCAGGAAGAAACTTCGGAAAATAACTGCTACCCTGAAATTCACTTGCTTTAATTATTTTGATGAGTTTCATACCAGAAATACAGGAAATCTAACCTTCAATGCATTTGCAATCTCATAATTTTGTATGCTTTGAAATATCACCAGCAAACTATTTCGAACATTTAATTGATATTTTCAAATGCATGTTTTAGCTGTTAATAACTCAACTTTCCTTTAAATCATTTACTTCTGTTTATTTGTTTAAAGGATTTGATATATTTTAATGCAAGATAAGCTTTTTCAGTGCTCTGAATATATCATTCCTAAAACTTGCAAGACAAGCTTTTTCAGTGCTCTGAATATATCATTCCTCAAACTTACTCAAGCACATTTTTTAACTAAATTTTCTATGAATTATACCTTTCTCTAATAAAATCTGAAACACCTTTTCTCATCTAACGTTTTTCATGGAAAAATATTTTCGAAAAATTTCCCTTACGTCTTTTCTCTTCTCTGACGAGTTCTGATTGATTTTTAAAGAAGATAATAAAGAATTTCATTCATTTAAATATACTTTCTACAGATTAAAATTTTTAGTTCGTATTTTACAATTTTAGTATCACTAGAAAGAATTTTGCTACATTAAACTTCTAATTAAGAAATAAACAGAAAAATTTTTTTTAAAAATCTGAAAGCTTTCATATTTTACATTACGTAAAAAGAAGCGATTTTTTAACGTTTTCTGTGTTACCTTTATTTATTAAATATCATGCTCTCAATATCGCAAAATATTTTTTAAATGAGCAAATCTTTAGAATTTCCGATACACAATCTCGCGTGCTGGAGATAAGAATGTACAGTGTTGCCATTGCTCGCTTTGAAACCGTTGAGTTCTTAATCAAAAATTCATAAATGCTTTAAAAATATGAAATAGATAATTAAAGCTTATTCCAAATTTGGGCTTCCAGATGGCTATATTCGGGTGGAGACGTAAGTTATTCAAAATTCGAGGGCTACACATTTATGCAGATTCCTCATTATTTAATTTCTTTAAATATAATACAGAGCTCTAATATTTGATTGCAAGAATTTAAAAAGTGATTCGCCGTTTATAGTGAATCAATACAAAATGACAAAACCAAATGAATAGGCAAATCGCCCCTTTGGACTAATAAATAAATACATTTTTACTAGATTGGGATAAGAATATTTTTTGCTCAAGTATACATTTTGTTACATGCTTTAGCTTGAAACTCCGTCTCTTTTTATCTCTAAGCGAAGGTTAATGGCCTTGTCCAGGATTCTGACGTTAGAATTACTCAAAGAATTACAGCCTTGAAACGCATGCGCAGGGAATTCCAAGCTCAAAAATTCTTGAAACTGGTCTTTCATGTGTGGGGGGAAAATACGAGAGTAAATCAAAAGCTTCTAAATCACATACTATAAAAGCTACAGGGGAGATGCACGAAAGAGAGTAAATATGATATATTAAGCGCACGTGACTATTTTCCGAATTCATACAAATCCGGGAAAGTTATCTATTTTCCAAAAATCCCAAAGAGGGGGAAATATATATATATTTTGATGCCGACAGACTAGCTGACAGCATCTGAGGCAATCTGATTCATTGATAGAATAAGAAGCAAATCACAGATAGTGCACTGTATTTAACCTGATGTTTTAAGTGCTTCACAAAGCCACCCACCAACGAAACTTCTCTGACTACGCTACACCTTCAAAAGGAACTCGCTGCCCTTTTCAGAAATTAATAAAAAGACGGAATATATAGTTAATTAGTTAATCGGGCAGTAAAGCAGGATTTTAAAAAGTTAAAATTCAAGTACATAAAAGTGCAGTAACATTATTTTGCAATCGAAATCTTAGCAAGATTAATATTTCCTTGATATCCTGCACTTTTCCTTTCCAACTCCGTAGAACAAATATTTCATTATTATTTCCCCCCCCCCACAAACTCCACAGAACAAATATTTCTTTCTTTCCTTTTTTTTTTTTTTTTTTTCCCATAGGGTTAGCTGCATTTCATTATAATCAATTTTAAGAGCTTCTTTAATATGGAAATGTTATACAAACAATTTGGAACATTTATTTAGTAAACCCAGGTTAATGTTCAATTAATGTTCCTGCCAATGATGGTACAAAATATTTTTAAGTTATACATTAATCTTAAGCACAAACCTAAAACTGGGCAGCAAGGTACGGTAATGTAATGAAAATGTTGGTACGTCAAATCCCATGCATAATCAGCACAGAAATAATCCAACACGATTCACTGCACACAACCACCAGCCATATATCACTTGAAATGAACAGTCTTCTTGGGCTGGTGTTTGGTTTCCATATGGGTTCATAGCTAAAATCGGTCAGCAAGGAATTTCGATTTGCTTTTCTGTGGTCATAAGGAATACAGCGGTCATTCTTTAGGTGTATTGTACCTGGGGATAACACCATGCATTAATAATGACTTAAAAAATGGATAACGCTTTTGGATGGTAAAATTCTCATTTATTTCTCTCAGATCACTGCAAGATTTTTTGACGGCAAAAGTGTCCACAATACCTAGTTTTAGGAAATAAAATAAGTGAACATTCTGTGGAAAAACTAAAAGAATTCGGCAAAAAAGGGGATTCAAAAATTGTCTGAAAGAAAGGTAGAAGGTCATAGATGAGACAGTAACTTATCGTGGTAGCAATTCCTGCAAAGTTTAGGGGATTTTCTAAAATTTCGCAAATATCAAAATTTTCCGCAAGTGCCGAATAAATCGTTGAATTCCTGATTTTTGTCCTAATTTTTAATATCTATTATAACTGTTAGATTACTTTTACATTTAAATAACTTTTATGCTACTTTTATGCTCAAATTTCCGCAAAAATACAAAGTAAACCTATTCCAAAATACAAGCTAGAAGACTGATTTACCTTTAAGTTCCGCTACCTTTAATTCTGGAATATGAGAAGTGAAGTCATTTTTCGAAGTTATATGAAGTCGCCCTACGTTGCCCTGTCAGTTCTAACACACATTTTCGATGCCAAACGATGATGTTTATTTAGTAATGTACAACTTAATGAACTAAATTTTGTACGTTAACTATAAAAACTGGCCAATTAAATGATAATCTTGATCTCAAATAAAGGTACTGAATACGCTACAAAATTTCATTGGCTTATAAATTTCAGTTAAAAATGTATTATATAATTTTTATTCAGTTACAAGGTAATTGTTTAATTCTTTCATCTCATAGACATTCTCCTTGGGGAGGAGTGACTGTAATGAAGAGCCTCAACTTAAATTGTTAACATGAATCCTAACAAGGCGAGAAAGTTTCTCTAATTTGCACTCCTTACTCCGCGATAAAATTTCTGCCTTAATGAATAACTACCAAAATATCACTGCTAAGTCACTGGCAACACTAAAAGAAACTAAAAGAACACTAAAAGAAATTCGGGAAATTTTCAGAGCAATACGATGCAATATAAATAACTTATATATTAAAAGCAAACTACAACAATAATTCAAAATATAAAAAGTAGTGAACAGCAGCAATAAATGAAAATACCTTTAAATATCGATAAAACAGCCGCTCTGTTGGCATAGTCGTAGTAGAGCTCGCTGCTTAAGCCCGGAGAAAGCATGGATGTTTTGTGACACGAGGGCACTTAAAAGACCACTGAGCTGAAAATCTTTTCGAGACGGTGGTGGTAAGGAAAAAAGGGGTGGAAAACCCTCTGATCTGATTCCCGGGAGATTCTCCTTCGAAACTGCAAAACGCTGAATAATTCGTACTTCCACCTATTAAATACCCACGGCCCAAGTCAATGACAAGCGCAACTCTTGCTTCTTGACCATGACACAATTCGTAGACTTGATTTGATGTTACTGTTAGACAAATGAGATAGGTCACAAACAACAACATATTTCACTAATGGCAATGGTATGTTATCTTAATACAACCAGTAACTTCTCATGATCAAGCTAGGTCATTTGCATGAGTTGCGAAATATTTAAGATGATCTGCTTGATAAACTTAGGCTCCTTTCCTCAACGAAAAGATATAATTCATGATAGCAGAATTAAATAGAATAAAATTCACCAACAGCATATTATGAATATGCTTCACAAGTACACAAAAGAAAAGAAAAATAATAGCTAGTGCATCACAAACAATTTTTATGTTTATGCCCATTTACTATATAGCTTCTTCAATCATAAAATTTCAAAGCTGATTTAATAAAAATGTCGGACCACTTCATATAATGTAAATACGTAGTTTCATATTCCATAATTCCGTAAAGCCTGTACTCAATATAAACTAAGAAATAGCATATCTTATCTGCCTTCTGTAGCACATAAACAGAAAAACATTTTAGCTTTTAACAAAAATTTATTGAATTCTATACATTAATATTTTCCTCAAACGTTAGAGAAAATATCCACTTGTATTAAGTCATCTGAATTAAACCTGTTCAACACTGAAAATTTACATAGCGGGATCTCCACGCGCTTCGCAATAGCTTCCTAATGAGTTAACTGCTCACTTTTTTAAAGGGTGCCAGCGGTGGGGAGTTCTCCTTTGGGGGAATTTCATAGTTTCAAGGTCAGCTTGACTCCAACCTTTCTTCCTGCTGTGCCATTAAAAATAATCTAAATCTAAATAAACGTATATGTATTTATCAAGTTTGAGAGAGAAAAGTGGGATTATCTTCTAGCAATGCTGAAAGGGGTGCATGAAGAAGAAAAAAAAAAAGAGAGAGAGAGAGAGAACCCTGTTCCACACGAACTATTTTCCTTCCTTCTGCGACTATTCAAGTCATGGTTTATTGGATTATGGCAAAATATTCTAGGGCATCTCCTAAGGGGCGGAAAGCTTTCGTGGCGGAATTTCTAAAGAAAACGGGCTCGTATACACGTTACGCATGGGGAAAACCACAAAAACGTCCATGCGATTAGCTTGAGCTCATTCACCTGGAACCGAATCCCGATCGAATTAACAATATTTAACGACTTTACAGTTCGGCCGCTGGTGGGCCTCGAATTTAGAAGGAATAAATTAAATTAATCTAATGATTTACATCAACTTAGCAACCAAAACTCAGTTAGTTTGTCACAGCAATGTGTTGACTCAAATACATTTAGTAAAATAACAGGATTGTTCCCAACAAGTTGAATAGAGTGAGTGACCGAGACAGTGAGATAGGAACGTCTCTGAACATAAAAAAGGAGGTGATTACAAATCTGGACTTGATACCTAAAACATTATCCAAGTAATAGATGAAACTTTTTACTAACGAAGATCTTTCTCGAAGGCGTCCGAGTAGACTCACGGTGGTATTTCTAGGTTCACATAACACAGCTTCTAACAAAATATAACAGTGAAAAAGAATGTAAAATAGGTTATTACAAATTAAATCTATGCCCATTTGTTGTATGTGTGAATTAACGCAAAAAACAGTTTTTCTGTCATATACACAACACATAAATCGCCTGGAAACGAAAAGTAACTCTCGATGAACCATTGAACTTCTTTACACTGGCCATCAAAAACAGTTCTAACAAAATTATTTGTTAAAAAAAACGAGTTCTGTTACAAGAAAAGAGCTGCCGTGATCGATATAGCGGTCAGGCCACTGACTGCCGTACAGATAGATAAAGCTGGGTTCAAACCCAGGGAGAAAGCTTGGATGTCTGTAAGTATATATAGTCTGTGAGATAAGAGGGCATATAAAACACTGTCTAGCCGATAGTCCAGACTAGTTTAGTGTTTGGGGAAGAAGGATGAGAGACCTCCGGATCCGTCTCCCAGAATGCTGCCCATCAGATCTGGAGCGGAGCTGTACGGTTAGTGCGGTGATTTTATACATGTACAAACAACGGTGAAATTCTGGTATCCTAGCCACTTCTTTACTTTTACAAGAAAAGAACTTGTGCTGATGCACTGATTATTCGCTCGCAGATTATGCGTCCTACGGATTATCCGCGTATCGTCCGCCAAGAAAGTTCTCAAACAGGAACCTGAAGATGAAACTAGGAAAGTCACTCTTGAATTCTGATACAGTGAATCTTACTGATAAAGACGGGATCATAAAGCTTTAGGTTAATACATGGCAAACAATGCAGGTTCTGCCACTAAAAAGGTCACGGCATCAAACCTCGTTAAAGTTGTCAGTTGTATTCAATTTTAAAAATAAATATGACGAAAACACTAGGAAGAATGAATGAGTGCTGAGGGCTAAGATGGATTTCATCAAGATACTGATGCAGTGACTCAAGAGGAATAGTAGGAATGAAGATGAAATAGATGGGAATACGGATCACTGTGTTAATTAACAGAACTGAAATCTAGGGGAACTGCTCAGAAAATTGGAAAAGTAACTTCAGAAATTTGTCTTGTACATTTATATTTCACTTAAAGCTTATCGAAAGACACCCGTAAATAGCACAGTATATTCAATTCTGGAAGAATGTTTTATTTTGAAGTACTTATTACAAAAGTAATGCACTTTAATGAACCAATAACATCAAGTACGCGAGTCTTACTTTAACCTTCTGACACTTCGTCAAAGGCATGAATATCAAATTTAAAGCAGGAATTCTCTTCTATTTTAAATTCGATCTACACATTGAAAACGAAACCCAGTCTTCAGTTATTTAAACTGAATTTGAGTTTGACACAGTAAAAAAAAAAAAAAAAAAGGAACATTTAACAAAAAAAAGTGCAGTTACAAACTGAAATTGATAGCTTTTTCAAAAGCGCATCTGTCTGGAGATAAGTAAGGGGAACAATTTTTCCCCTTCCGAATCTTTAAGAAATGTTCGTGAACGTTCAAAGCGCTACAATTACGGGAGAAAAAATGTCAATGGCTAAAGCACTTAACTTGGTGCACTTAAATATTTAAATATGGACATCGTAAATTCAATTTCCAGTCTGAAATGACCTTATGGATAATAATATTAAGTAGGAAAACGTTTTTAATCCCACAAACGACCTTCAACTAAAAAATTTGGGTGTGCCAAGTTCAGCAATAATTTCAAACGTCTTAAAAAATATTTTTTGGCATACCATTATTATGCAGTTGTTACAGTTTTACAATTGTACAGCTGTTATAGTTTCACAAATTATTAACAGCTCAGCCAAATATTCTGTACTGAATACAATCGCCATAAAATCTGTAAATCAACAATATGTCATTATTAAAGGAGGGAAGAAGGGAATTCAGAAAATGCTTTGTATATAATTTTTTTTTTTTTTTTTTCTGAATATAGATCATCTTCTATAACAAAGGCTAAAAATGGAAACATCATAAATCCAATACGGTAACCAAGGAATAATGAACAAATAAATATAAATAATATGTAAGTAATTGGTAAAAGCCACCAGAGAATATGTTTTACAGTCTTTTGTTAAATGCTGAAAATTAATTCATGCTTATTTATACATATGATTGCTAATATTTAGATTTAATTGCTAAAATCATCAAAAGCCAGCTCAAGTAGCCCAGTTATCTCAATATTTTGGCTTTGCTACAATTTCTACTTTCATCAGCTTCCACCAGAATATAGATTAGTTGAAGTATGAATAAATCGGAATATGTAAATAGAGGCTTTGTAACAAAAAGTCAAATTTTACAGGGGCAACGAAAAACTATCCCATTCCTCACAAGAATGTCAGACGTTTAGTTGTCACGTTAGATATTATAGACTAGTTAGTAACATTAGATATTAATCTTAGATCATTTTAATCTGTTAACTACTGAAGAACAAACTAAACTATCAAAAGCAACAGAATGGATCTTTAGAATAATGTTATTTTACTTTTCAATCTGATTCAACTAAATAAAAATGTATTTAATTCATGATATAGATAATAAAAAACATCAAATATTTTTAGAAAATTGCATTATATAATTTTTCACATTTCAAATATATTCGGAAGATATGCAATATACACTGACTATCAATAAGTATTTGGACACCTATGCAAATGACGATATCTGCGGTCCTAAGGTACGTCACGGACTCCGCCGGTATATATCGTGTAGGAAACAGCATCGGCTTTAGGGATACCTCATCGCCAACCAGATGTCTTATCGCTCATCACGTGACATTGGTCACACCCCCTGCATCTGCTATCCTGTCTCCACAAGAACTACGTTCGGCATTTCCTTACCTGCGGCGCTCCTAGAAGCACCAAAGTTCGATAGCCGGAACACAACCTGCGATTTCGCAGGTTAATCGCGGCAAATAAAGCAAGCTGGAGTTGGAGATCGGCTTTAGTTGCATGCAAGATGCCTCGCAGTTCGGAGCTCTCCGATTTCGAGAAAGGTATAATTATCGGGTATCACAAATGTGGCCGATCCTTAAGGGACATATCTAGCGATCTGAAGTACCCAAAATCGACAGTGGCCTATGTGATTAAGAAGTGGAAGGTGAGCGGTGATTGTCGGAATGTGCCCCGAGTCGGCAGACCAACGAAACTGGGAGATAGAGACCGGCGAGTGCTGTCCAGAGAAATTCGGAAGAACCGCACCCAACCGATGCCCCTCATCCGCGAGGAGTTTCAACAGGCATCCGGGAGTATTGTTTCAATGAATACCATCCGTAAGGAAGCACATCTGCTTGGTTTTCATGGTCGTGCTGCTACCCATAAGCCTTTGATCACAAAGTCCAACCGCGCTGATCGGTTAATGTGGTGCAAATCGAAATTGGACTGTAGATCAGTGCAAACGGGTTCTTTGGAGTG